GGAGGGAGGGAGGGAGGGAGGGAGGGAGGGAAGGAGGGAGGGAGGGAGGCAGGAGCTAGAGACTGATCCATTGCTGAGAGGACTTGCTACTTTTGCAGAGGACCCGGGCTCAGCCTTTGCAGCACCCATATGAAGGTTGACCGCCACGCGTAACTCCAGTTCCAGAGAATGCAATGCCCTCTCTGGCCTCTCTGGCCTCTAGGGAAACACTGGCTACATTTAAATACATGCAGACAAAAATGTCCAGAAACATAAAATAAAAATAATGAATCTTTAAAAAAAAAAAAAAAAAAAGAATGCTGAGCTATAGATGCCTGCCTGTCACATGCTTCCACTTGCAGAGTTCTGGAGCTGGCAGAATAATTTATAGTGGGGCGATCAGAACAGCACAGCCTCTAGGGGAGAGATTGCTTGTGGGGAAGCAAGGAGAACTTCCGGGGCTGCTGTTGATGTCTTATGCCTTGACTGAAGTCCAAATAACATGGGCAGACACATTTGTTAAAACTCAAGAAGGAATGACTGAAGGATGGCTCAGTAGGAAAGAACACTTGCTAAGAAAGAAGGAGGACCTGATTCTGAATTCCCAACACCCATGTGCAAGCTGGTTGCTGGCATATGCACCTGTAATCCTAATACTGGGGAAGCAGAGACAGGAGGATTGCTGGGGTTTGCTAGTCAGCCAGCCTAGTTGAAAAAAAAAAAGAAAAGCGGTGAGTTCCAGGTTCAGTAACACCCTGTTTCAAGGAAATAAAGCCAAGAGCAATGGAAGAAGACACCCAATGTCATCCTCTGGCTGCCACAAGGGCACTTGACATTGTGCATACTCAAGCATAAAACACACACACACACACACACACACACACACACACACACACACACAGTGCAATCAATATGTATATTCATCGTTTATAAGTTTTACTTTCACCCAAATGATGCACACTCACACCACAAGGACATTTGCTCAACTGTGTTCATAGCAGCATTCTTCATAATAGCCAGAACCTAGAAACAACCTAGATGTCCCTCAATCGAAGAATAGATAAGAAAAATGTGTTACACAATGGAGTACTACTCAGCGGGGGGTGGGGGGCATCCTGAAATGGATGGAGCTAGAAAAACCATTCTGAGGTAACCCAGACCCAGAAAGACAAATATAATATGTACTCACTCATGAGTGGATATTAGACAGAAAGGACAACTAGCCTACAGACCACAACCCCAGAGAACCTAGGTAACAAAGAGAGACATACATGGATCTGCCTAGGAAGAGGAAAAAGACAAAATCTCCTGAGTAAATTGGGAGCGTGAAAGACAGGGGGAGGATGGAAGGGGAAAGAGGAGGAGGGAAGGGGAGGGGGGCATGTATAGCTCAATAATAAATAAATAAACAAATAAATAAATAAAGAGTTTTACTTCGAAGGGCAGTTCTTGACACTGATAGGCCGCCTGCACAAGGAGGTCTTCAGGGGAGAGTACTGACGGGCTGGACCCCTCTACAGTGTTTTCTCACTGAATCTTGCTGTGCCATCGCCATTCATGATCTTGGGTTCTGGCTGAGAACTATGCTTCTCAAACTGTCCTGTGCAAGCAGGTCAGCCGGACAGCCTTGCAAGACCCAGACTCTGTGTCTGAGCCTGAGACATTGCATTTGTAATAAGGTTCCCGGGTGTGGCTGCTGCTGGCCTGGGGACCACACTTGGTGTGACAAGGACTTAGAACCTTACCTCCCCACCTAGTCACCCTCATCCCTCTCCAGCTGGGGTTGCCTTCTGTGTCCCATACACTCTTCTCCTTCAACTCTATCCAGGTCTCCCGTAGCCTCTTCCTCCGTTGCCCTACCAGAACTTTAGACCCCCAGGGCTGCTTCTTCAGAACTGTATACCACGACACCTGAGTGACTCCCAGCCTCGTGTGTAACTGGAGCATAACCACAGACTTTCCCTCACACTGGGCTCTAACTTGGCCTCTCCTTAGTGACTCTAAAAGCTGACACTCTCCCCAACTCTGCACATTTTAAACCAGACCCTCCTGTCTGGCTCCCCCCTCTCCCAGATCCTTTCTGCCAGTCTATCTCCCACTCCAGGGGTCCTGGAACCCTATTAAAGGCTCCAATCCCCACCTCAAAGCCTCTCAGCTCTGCTCACTGCTGCTCCCACCCAGCAGGCTCTGAGAAGGCAGCCATGGGGGAAGGGGGCTGTCTCATCAAAGCTGTCTCCAGTCGCAGCAGGTGGATGAGGTAGGGGTTCCCTTGCCAGGTCCACCCCAAGTAATCGTGACTGTAGCAATCTCTATCCTAAACTCAGGATTCGGCAGGTAGAGACTTGACCTCTTCAGCCCTGAGGCATGTCTCAGTCCAAGCCCTAAGCCCTTCTCTGAAGTTCCCAGGCCTTCCCTGGCAGCCCCAAACCCCTTCCTCCCACAAGCTCCATGGTGGTTTCTCTCCACCCTCCTTAAGATGGCTCTTGGGAGGATATTTTATTTTCCCAGACAAGCTCAGCAAGGCAACTTCTCCTCCTAAGAGGTTAACCTAATTGCTTTTCCCAGAAGAAAACCCTCAGAGGTTTCCCTTGTGGTGGAATAGGTGGTTTGAAAATTATATGTTGAGGGCACCATGCTGGTTACTATATTCAGTTCATTTTCGCAGATGGTGGCACTGGAGAGCACAGTGCCACCTGCTGGTCCATATCAGGATTCCAGGAGAGCACGGAGTCCACCGGTGCCATTGAGAGTCAGAAGCACAGCACGCTCGACACGCACAGTTCCCTGTTGGCTGAGAAGCGAGGCCACAGGTCAAGGGTTCAGCCTGCGCTCATTTTTAATGTTTCACTTTCAAAGCCCCGTGACAACTGTGGCAGTCAATGTATTGGCTTTCTCAAACATAAAATGTTTCATTTCCAGGGGTGGAGAGTGAGAGAGACAGGCTTACCAACAATAGGAAAGAATGATGTACAGTATTTGCATACATGTGTCCAGGATCGTGTAACACCGCAGAGGACCTCATCTTGGCCTCCTTGAACTACAGGAGTCTGACACCAATTCAGAAGCATGGCTTTTCTCTGCTCTTCCTGTACAGTCTCCGTCCTTTCCACTCCCCTAATGATTACACAGTTCCTCCTCCCTAAAGCAAGCCGTAAGGTCTAGAAACTTCACTGTCTCACCTCCCCCTGGAAGACACCAGCCCCAGGAAGCAGGAATGCTGCACAGACAGGCCAAAAAGCGTCTGGACAGAAAGGCATTTGCTGGCCTGTTTGTTGTCTGTCACCATCAGATCGTGACCTTTCGCTCAGGCACAATTCCGCATCACTGCCCATCCTTCACTGAACTGAGGCGTAACGATCAATCTCTTCCCCTGTCTCGCTTATTTATGTCTTGTAAAACTTTGATCAAATCAACATGTTATGCCTTTCCCTTGTTAGCCTGTGTCTTGTCACAAAGTATTGGTCATGACCCTTATGATGGGTGAGAAGAGATAGCCACCCCTCCCCCGTCTCTCTGTCTCTCTCTGTGTTTCTGTCTCTGTCTCTGTCTCTGTCTCTGTCTCTCTCTCTCTCCTCTCTGTCTCTCTCTGTCTCTCTGTCTCTGTCTCTGTCTCTCTCTCTCTCCTCTCTGTCTCTCTCTGTCACACACACACACACACACACACACACACACCACAGAGAGACAGACACACAGATACACAGAGGTGTGTTCAAGAGGAAATACAGCCCAAGCCTGGCCTGAGGGCTCCCCAGCCCTCACTGGGAAGGTGGTGCTATTGCATCAGTTGGTCTAGTCAGGCTGCTTACTCACTCATAACATAACCCTGTTCCCCTCGCAGGCCCTGATGGACAGAGTTCACTCCACAGCCCCACACACTATATAATAGGACTTATAGTTGGATGAGGGACAGCTAAGCTGGTGTGCATAGATGAACCATAAGAACAGAGGGCCCGTGGGTGATGGTGTTGGCCTCTATGGTAGCTCAGTTCTGGCCTGCAGAGGACTCAGAGAGGGATAAAGTGACTACCCTGGCCTGGGAAGGCTTGATTAGTCACACCTGCTCTCACATCCATGAGGGGAGCTGGCACAGCAGCACCAGACACTCAAGAAGTTCTCTGCCAAGTGCAAGGGGCAGCAGCCACTGTAAAGGAACAGAGGAGAGGGTACAGTACAGAAAGCCAGAGTCAGGCTGCCTCAGGCCTGGCACAGTTAGTCCTAGCTGCTAGAGGACCTAAGCAGGAAGGTTACTTGATCTCAGTAAGTAAGACCTTTCTTGTCTCAAAACTAAAATGAAGGCTGGGAATTATCATAGTTGGTAGAGTGCTTGCTTATCATGTATGATACACCATACAAACTAGGCATGTTGGCATGTGCTTAGAATTCCAGCACTCAGGAGGTGGATACTGGAGGATCAGATGTTCGAAGTCATCCTTGGCTACTCAGTGTGTTCAAGACCAGCATGCACTACATGAGATTCTATCTCAAGAAATAAGCAAGACCCCCAGCAAACCCCACATTCTTTTTATCTTATGAAAACAGAGAGAAGATACCACCTGTGAATCTACAAGCTGGCCTCTCATCAGAGCTCCAACTGCTGTGATCAAACAGCACGACTGGAAACTACCTAGGGAGGGAAGGATTTCCGTCATCTCTCAGATCTCAAGTCACACTATCACCAAGAGGAGTCAGGGAAGGAATTCAAGGCAGGAACTTGGAGGCAAGAACCTGGAGGCAGGAACCAAAGCAGAGACCATGGAGGAGTGCTGCTTACTGGCTTGCTTTCCATGTCTGACTCAGCCTTCTATACCATCCAGGGCAACATGTTCAGAGGTGGCACCCAATGGGCCTGCCACATCAATCATTAATCAATACCCCATAGACTTGCCTACAGACCTGTCTTATGGAAGCAATTTTCTCACTTAAGTTTCCCTATTCCCAAATAGGTCAGATTTGTGTCACATTGAAGGGACCACGTAACATAGGGCCTTCACCAGATATCGAGCTAGGCTTGATCTTGGACATCAGCCTCTAGAATTGTGAGCAATACATTTCTGTTGTTTGTCAGCCACCCGGGTGAGGGTGCTTTGTTACAGCAGCAGGAATTACCATCTCACCATCCAACCGCATCCTCAGAAGTTTCCAGGAAGCCCAGGTTCTTGACTGTGGTCCACCTGACCTGGGAGCTGCTCAGTAACTTGGCCTCAAGGACCTGGTTCCACCTCCCATCCTCCCCAGATCTGCGTGTGGTTTCCTGTTGTCTTTCCAGACCCACAGAGTCCTAACTGGCCAGCCTGTTCCTCTATCCACTCCCAGGCCTTTTGTAAAGAGGCCTGACCAAAATCTTCCCCAAGGTGGCAGTTTGGGGAAAGACACTAATTACAAGCTCTCTGTCAGACTGGAATTGGCTAGCACCATACCCAAACCAGGGCTCCCATTTTCAAAAGAGCAATGACATAGAAGATCTGTCTAGGTGCCAGGCCAGGCCACAACAGACCAAACCAGAGTCACTGTCCCCAAAGAAGCAGAGGAGGCTTCTTTTTTCTTCCACTGGGCCCAGCAGCCTGTCTCCCAAGGACTTGATTATTCTCTACCCAGTATCTTCCTCCCCGAAGACATGGGCTCATCCTTTGGCATGTCCCATGTATTCAGTGCCCACTACCAGGTGAACTATCTGGTGTCATGACTGGGAGACTTTCTCCTAGTATAACTAGCTCAGCATAGCCTATTCAGAGTCTTCGCTGGGTCCCCGTGTCTTTGGAGGCATGGGTATTATTAACAAGGGGAACCTTCCTGTTTCTGTGGGTTTGTTCAGTTCCCACCAGCATGGAATGCTCAGCATGCCAAGTCTGTATTCTGGTGACCACGGGGCCAGCAGCAGCAAGGATGTCAAGCAGAACAGGGCCCTGAGCCATAGGATGCTCATTACTCTTTAGGTGACATCAACTCTAGCTCTCCCAGCAGGCTCTGTGCTGTGACTCAGTTTGATCTACCTGCAGAGAAAAACTGTTCACCAAGGAGTCCGTACCACAGCCTTCTTCAAATAGTGTGGGATGTCAAGGAGACCTGGGGCGAGCAAGTGTTCTTCACAGAGAGCCCTCCCAGACTGGAGGCCCAGTCTCTAGCTAGTAAATTCCCCAAGAGCATGCTGTTCCTTTGCTCACTGGGTCCTGGAGATCCTTTTAAGAAATGTACTTAGAAACACTACCCTAGAGCCAGGTGGTGGTGGCACATGCCTTTAATCGCAGCACTCAGGAGGCAGAGGCAGGTGGATCTCTGTGAGTTCAAGGCCAGCCCTGGTCCACAGAGCAAGTTCCAGGACAGACAAGAATAGCTAAGGCTACACAGAGGAACCCTGTCTCAAAAAACCAAAAAAAAGAAAGGAAAAAAAAAAAGAAAAAAAAAGAAACACTACCCCAGAATGTGGCACCTTGGCATCTGAAAAAAATAGCAAAACCTGAGAAGGCTATCTCTGACTCTTTCCCTGCCCTACTGTCAGAGACACCAAGAAGCCCAGCAAGCAGTCCTTGCTAAACCCCACCCCCAGTGTATGGCCAGTCAATCATTCACCCTTTCATCATTCAGTCATGGTCCTGCAACTGTCTATAGAGTCACACAGCTTTCCCTACCTTTCTGGCTCTTCATCTTGTGAGAGCTCCTGGGTCACTTGAAGCTTAACTTGAATTATTAGGCCTTTCTCTTGCACACCTGTCTTTGCTACAGGAGTGTAAAGCCAGGACCCTGGTGATGGTTGACTGCAAGATCAAAGCCATTTTTTAAAAAATGCTGACTCTAGTCACCCATTCTTATTTCAGAGGCTACATGATACATACATTACAGTAGACTGAATGCAAGAAGAAATAAAAAACCCCACTGTTTATATTCTAGTAAGGCAAATAGTAAAAAGATTTTCTAAAAATTAAAGAGCAAAGAGTGCCGCTCGATGGTAGAACACCTGGCTAACCTGTGTAATGCCTTGGGTTCTGCCTCAGCATTGGTAAACACATCTTTGTTTTTTTTGTTTTGTTTTTTTCTTCAATAGTTTTTGTTTGTTTGCTTTGGAAGACACAAGTTCAGAACTGGAATTACAGATGGTTGTAAGCTATCATGTGGACGCTAAGAATCAAACCTGGGCCCTCTAGAAGAACAGCCATTGCTCTTAACGACTGGACTGTCTCTCTAGCCTCTTCTAAAGGAGCCTTAAGACCAACATGTTTGGGAGGCAGGGAGTTTATGTTGCAGGGGTGGAAAAGCTCTGAGGAATGCTGTTGTGGGATATTTGTACACTGTATGGAGATGTGTGGCTGTGGTTAGTGTAATAAAGAGTTGAGTGTCCAATAGCTAGACCAGAGGTATAAGCAGGACTTCTGGGGACAGAGAGGATTCTGGGAAGAAGAAAGATGGAGATGCCAGGGGATACAGAGCAAGCATGATGTACAGGAGAGGTAACAGTCATGAGCCACATGGCAGAACATAGATTAATATAAATGGGTTAATTTAAATTGTAAGAGCTGGTTAGGAACACTCCTAAGCTATAGGCCTAGCTTTGATAATTAATAAGAAGTCTCTGTGTCATTATTTGGGAGCTGGTGGGACAAAGAAAGACCCATTACAGGATGCTTCTGAGAGCCACACAAGATGGAAGAACTAACCCTCCGCACCCCATCAAAATGATTCTGTTTGTAAATACTATGTATATTTAACCGCAAAGAAAAAGGAAGTTTACAGAAATGAAAAGATTTAAAACTGATGCAGCAAGGACTGTAGCTCAGTGGTTGTGTGCTTGCTCAGCATGTGTGAGTACCCAAGGTTAGTCCCAGACCTGGGGAGTGGGGGTCTCCTGAAGATACTTTCTAGAGATGCTTAGGGAATGTACTTTGTGGGGACTGAAGCTTGGGACAAAAAACATTTGCTATGGGAGCAAATTCAGAGACAAAGGCCCAGCTGAGATTTGAACCACGCCAAACTCTAAGCCTTTATCTGTTGAGTAGCTCTAGAGAGAAATTCTTATTTGTATGCCCTCCTCTACTATTTTGCATTTATTTCTGTGGGGAAAATTATTTTTTTCATTTTATTTTATATTTTGCAGTGCTGAGAATTGGACCCAGGGACTCATACATGCTAGACAAGTGCTCAATAACCGAGCCATATACATATAAGGAACTTTTGCAAAATAAGAAAATGGCCATTAGCTGGGCCTTGGTGGCACACACCTTTAATCCCAGCACTTGGGAAGCAGAGACAGGTGGATCTCTGTGAGTTCGAGGCATCCAGCACCCTTTTCTAGTGTCTATAGCTGCTGCGTGCACATGTTGCACATACATACATGCAGGTAAAATACATACACACATAAAATAAAAAGAAATAAGTCTTTTTTAAGAAGTATGGTGGGAAAGATGACTTAGTGGGTAAAGGTGCTTGCCTTGCAATCCTGGTGACTTGAGCTTGACCCCGAGGACCCAGGTAAAGAAGAAAGGAGAGAACTGAATCCTCCGACCCCCATACACATGCTATGGCACATGCCTGTGGTGGCTTGAAAGAAAATGGCCCCAAAGGGAGTGGCACTATTAGGAGGTGTGGCTTTGTTGTAGTAGGTATGGTGTTGTTGAAAGAAGTGTTTCACTATAGGGTGGCTTGGAGGTCTCCTGTGCTCAAGCTACACACAGTGTGGCACTCAGTTCACTTCCTTTTGCCTGCAGATCAAGATGTGGGACTCTCAGCTCTTTCTCCAGCACCATGTCTGTCTGCACACCACCTGCCATGAAGATAATGGATTAAACCTTTGAACTGTAAGCCAGCCCCAATTAAGTGTTTTTCTTTATAAGAGTTGCTGACTAAGACGTACACACACATACACACACACACACACACACACACACACACACACACACACACACACGCAAATAGTTGTCTTGGAAGGCTAAAATCACATGACTGCCCCCCCCCCAGAAAGAACACTGAACATGTAGGATATATCTACTCACTGATGTGTAAACACAATATTGATATCAAATTATTTACTTCTAGAATACACCAGCAGGTGGCGCCTTGCATGCTGAGCACACTGAAGATGGGAACAACCTCAGAAGCAAGAAGTGTCTCAAACTTATCCCACCCCCCCCACTTCTCCCCCAAGTCATAGAA